CGAAAGTCAACAAGAGCAGTCAAGCAGTGGTTCTGGTCAGGGGATACAAATAGCGGAATCAGAACCGGGTTTGATTTAGAGTTCCGTATACGGAGCTCAATGTATGCAAAATTAAACTGTGAATATCTTTATCTCGTGTTTGTCGACAGTTCATGGAACTCGATACCTAACTGTTTAAAACATCAGAATGAGCAAGCGACAATGCAGGTTAAACGCTTCCCTTGTATAATTTCAATGAAGAAAACAATGTTGTCTTTTCCTATTCTCGTATTATATATCATCCTGCAGTTAGTATTGGATTGTAGAGCAATTTGATCGCTTGAGACGACAAGGTATCTTACTTTGAATAGCAGTCCGCGGTGGAATTGTGACCCCTTTTTGATGCGCCCCAGAGGAATGACATTAGATTCGATACTGCACTTGATCTCGGCCAAATTCAGCTCATGATACGATGCACTCAATGTGGCCTTATCCACCGGACCACCGTAACAAGATGCAACAAATCTGCCCGGGAAGAAAGATTGAAAAGATTAGTCTGTACATGATCAGAGTTGATTGAATTTCTTATAATGGTACAGAATTCAACCTACTTGCCCAACTCTTCCGCTTGTTTTCGCGGGTCCGCCAGTGGTAGAATTGTGGTGGTAGCATAGTCCAGCCAACCTTTCAGTACAACATCCACCGGAACAGGTACCGATTCCGATAATCCAGTTGCTGTCTCTTCAGCAGCTTCCCGGTCAGAATTGACGGGTGAATCGGGGTTTTCAGAAGTCTGTTCCACATCCGGATCTTTTCTGAAGAGAAAAGAATGTTGAGGTTTGAATGTGGCAGCCTTATTTGTGATGTAATCCGCAAAAGTCTATGAGAATAGGCGGCAATCAACAGCAATGCCATAGTTTGTTTGTTACCTACTTCCAGTTAGAATGCGAGACAAATTGGATACTGCTGAAGGACGATGAACATTTATATGGGACGACATGCGGCATAATTAGATCGGGTTGTAGTGTGGTAACGGCAAGCAGGTAGATCGCGACTGAGTGAATGACTGGGGTCCTTAAGTATCTTATGGGTTAAATTTTCACACAAAGCACCATGAAAACCATACTTTTGCGATTAAAGTGGGAATAATGGAAAGTCTGGATTACCACAATCATCTATTGGGCTTATGCGCAACCTGAAAGGGTTCATTAGGGACAATAATACTAGGCCGCGAACGGGTGAGAATAGCGCCCTCTGCTAGCTTATGACCAGAGAAGTTGATGAAAATGGTACAAAAGCGTTCGAACAGAATACCAAACGAGGAGGATTCAGGAACGTGAACAATGGTAAAAGGTTTCGAGGAATTAGGGGATCAACACAAATGCTTCGATTTAATAATAGGGAACGCGAAAACCTCGGTGATGAAACCAGCGCCATGTTTGAGGATAAGCTAAGACTGACGAACAGGGCACACTGCACTCGTTATTTTTGTAGTTTAAAGACGATGATAGACCTACTTATGGATAACAGGGGCTGCGGCGGATAGACAATCTGTGAGGTATGCAGACAAGAAATTATTTGAAAGATAAATGAATGCCGTATTAGATAGTCCACGTCAATAGTTTTGTTTGCTGTCCTCACAACAATCTGATCCCTTGCCACGACCGCCTTCCATTTCCAGCTTCCAGAAGGTGCTTTGAGAACGAATCATTCAATCTTTTGACATCCGCCTTGATTTGCAGGGAAAGCTGTTTGACCGTGGCTGTTAGATGCATCTTTAACCTTTTCCCTTACCGTCTTATTAGGGCTATTATCAGCGGAGAGCGTGCTCTACCAGTGCGAACAGAACTTGTTTCCATAGAACAGCATTAATTGGAAATCACATTCACTGTTTCAGCAAAAACTGATTGTTGAAAGCAAAGCCATGCGGAGGTGGTGACAAGATATTTCTTTAGGAGGAGCCTGTTGGCTTAACGATTCCGAAGTGTAACGGTCACTTGTTTTGTCTGAATGAAAGTGGAATATGGAAAGCGACAGTAGACTTTTGGATACAGTTATCTCTACTGGGCAGCCGAAAGATGGAAACCAAAACCAGTGTACGATAGAGCATAGTTAATGGTTGTGCAAACTGAAAGTGAAACTGAGTGGAAATAGGTGACTTCGTCTTATTTAAATAACCAGGATGCTCAGTAAAGACTTTGTCCAATATAAATTCTCTTGTAGCGGATTTCGGACTGAAGGGAAATCAAGGTTGGGTTGATCCATGATTAAAGTATCCAACAACTAATATTAAATCTCTTCAACAAGGGGAATGATAAAAGGAATATATGCAGCATGAAAGATGCTGATGTCGAATTGTAAGCGAAAAAGAGCAATGGCGAGATTGCTAATTATTGTGCCTCAAAGAGGGAAAAACTTAGGTCGACATGAAACAGCGGGGTAGTCAACAAACAAACAAAGTTTCCGACTTGTCGCACCGGGTGGAGTTAACATAGGTTATTACCCCATCTCCAATCTCTTTTCTGCCTGTTTCTTTGTCTTGTCGTAAACAGCGAGCGAATGTTACAACTGACCAATGCGACAACAGACATCTTCACAAAAGGTGTGTGCAAGAGCTGCCTACTACCCGGTAAGATTACGTACTTGTATTTGTATTTGTATAACTTGCGTGAAGATATATGCTTAAATTTCAATTAAAAATGTATCTGTTCGTCGAACAGAACGAAATAATAATAATAATAAAAACGAAAGGTAAGAACGTCAGAGATATTTATTTCGTGTACAAAGCATTTGACGTAGTTCATTTGAGACCTGATCCTTTTTGGTGCGTAGTCGGATCAGGTAGGATACTGGGGAATTTTTATAAATGTTAATGCGAGAGGGCAGATCTCGAAATGAGGAGCGTGTGGACGGATGGGAACGACAAGACGATAGATCAGGGCGTATTGGATGAGCAGGGTCATCTAGAATCTTATGAGCTAATTTAAAGCAAGAGTTAATGTGACCATCAATGAGTTCTGTGATTAATGAACCGATCGAAATTAATGATGCACGACTGATGATCACCAAACCACGGCGAATTGTTTTGAAGTCTTGTTTTAAAAGTTCGGGAAACACTACAGGGGAGCCATGGATAAATGGGTAAAACGCACTGATGAACAAAAGATGACAGGACTGACTGTGGGATTCGGAATTGCCTGAGTTTGTGTAACTGAAAAGATAGACGCCTCAGTTTTCCCATACAGTTGTGAATATCAAGTCAAGTCAAGAAGCGGCTTTAATTCTCCCTATAGGGGATGAACATTTAGCTACTACACAATCACTCTTCTTTGGAAATTACATGGTAACAAAACGTATAATGGATGATACGTTACATATACAAAAAGCCAATTTAGCAAAGATTTTGTCTAAGACTCCCAATGACAAGATCAGCGTTGGTAAGAAATCGTGCCAGGAACGGTATTGTAGAAGACATGTATGTA